CTATGTGTCTATGTGTCTATGTGTCTATCTGTCTATCTGTCTATTCAGCTATTCATCTATTCATCTATTCATCTATTCATCTATTCATTTATTCATCTAGTCATTTATTCATCTAGTCATCTATTCATCTATTCATCTATTCATCTATCCATCTATCCATCTATCCATCTATCCATCTATTCATCTATTCATCTATTCATCTATTCATCTATTCATTCATCTATTCATCTATTCATTCATCTATTCATCTATTCATCTATTCATTCATCTATTCATTCATCTATTCATTCATTTATTCATTCATCTATTCATTCATCTATTCATTCATCTATTCATTCATCTATTCATTCATCTATTCATTCATCTATTCATTCATCTATCTATCTATCTATCTATATATATATCTATCTATCTATATATATATAAATCTATATATATATACACATAAAATACACCATCTTTTTTTTAGATGGTTGAAAAGCCAAAACCCCCTCCATTGCTGAGGCAGTGGTGGTGGAGAAGGCTGCAGAGGCCAGAGAGAATGATCAAGAAAGGAAGATGGAACAGAAGGCTGCGGGGGATTCTGCTACATCAACCTGCTACCCTCTTAAGTTTTCTTTCAGTTTGCTAACTGGAAAACCCACCATTTTTTGCTCAGGTGAATCAAAAATAGCGAAATGGGCCATGGCTTTCATAGCAAACTGTTAAATTACCGGAGGTTTGTTGATGGTTAAATGAGGGTGGGTTTGGAATCAGGATTCTGTTGAACGAGGATTCGCATGTTGTTTGGTTTTCATAAATCAGAAATGGGCGGATTTTTCGATGATTCTTCCGGCTACCGGAGGGTCCCCCGGTGACTTATCTGGATACATGTATATATATATACATATATATACACACTGTATACACATAAGACAGAGATATGCATATACATATGCAATGGTATATGTCTACATATATATATATACATCTATATATACACACATAGTCAGTATATAAATATGTATAATATATACACACCCGATGGTGATTTTGAATCGGTTAAAATCAACCATTCTTGTGTCAAATCCTCAATTGTGGCGGGCCAACAAATCATGGTTGGCTGATGGTCGACCGAAATCATGATTTTGGTATACCAACTGGGAGAACGAGGATTCAAGTGACATTTGTCATCATTCCAAGGACTAGGGGATTATAAATAATCACAATGGGATTTAATCATCCCATTTTGGTGCATATGTGTTAGAATTCTTCGCCCAAATGGTGAAGCATCCGTGACCGCCGTGACCTCGACATTTGGCCAAAATCCAAAGGGTCTCAATTGTAGGCCTATTCTCTAAGAAACAGCCCCTTTTGGATGCAGTTAAAACCACACTTTCGCCAGCTTTTGGCGATGTAAGTTGCCTCCCCAAGAATGGGAATGCAGAGGCAGAACTCCCTGGAGGGTTAAAGTACTATTTCGAAACTCTCAAATTTCAGAATAAACTTGGGAGTCAAAACCCAGTCTGAAAATACAACGTGGACCCTCTCAGGAGAACGAGCGCGAACGAAACATGATCGAGCTGGCTATCCTTTGTGACCGGATGGACAATGATGGCAGTGGTGCTCTATCCTTGAAAGAGATGTTGGACGCTGGCTGCTGACTGACTAGGGGTGAGTCAAAACCCATACACACCTTTCGGTGTCCTCAAACATGGCGGTCCGCTATAAATTGATGTTTTTGTTGGGAAAAACATCGAACTTAATGGGGGATTTTCCAGCAAGCCATGTTTGATTTCCGGAGGGTACATTTTTTCCTTCGGGATGAACAAGGGTTTTGACCCATCCCCACTTCATTCAATGTTTACTTTTCCACAACTTGGAATTGGTAATCAAAAACGGGCATACTGGGAATGTAGGTGTACCAAGTCTCTAGCTAGTTGGTGCCTTCATTCCTTGTTGTTTGTATCATGGGGGTGAGCCTGAAGGGCGAATCCTGATAAGTAGTATATCCCATTTTTATCAACAGTAGGTTCACCATCAATCATACCTCTTTATAGGGTTTGCATAAGGGATCAGATTTCCCACCGAACAATTAACTATTCCATTATTATAGGGTTTATATAAGGGATCGAATCTTCCACCCCCCCAAAGGAACGATGAACCATACCACTAGTAGGGTTTACAATAGGGATCAAGTTTCCCATGGAACTATCAACCAGACAACGCTTGAGACCCTGAAATTGAGAGAAAAGAGAGCCGATTCCCGCAAAGGGTCACGAATTCCGACTCGAAATCACAAATTTGCGGAACTACACCCTTCAGGGGATTCCAAGTACTGTAAGACATGTTGCAAAACCTTGCAAATACTGAGTAAAACCTCTCTCAAACATGAGGCAATGTCCTGGCAAACCACAACTCCTGCCGTGTGTATGCTAGTACAAGACATTTCTGCCCAAATTGGTGGTGGTTTATTGTTGGATTTCCCACGCCAACTCTCATAATGTCAACTCTGGGATTAGAAACACTGGGCTGTTGGCTTGGGGTGGTACCATTTTTGTACCAGATAAAAACTTGTTTTGGGCAACCCAAGTAGATCGTCAACCAGGATGAGCATTCATCCGGGGTTGATGCAACTTGTTTTCATGTCTGGTTTGACTCTCATGTTTTTTTAGCCCTTCATAATTTTGAGCCATCAACTAGTATCAACTAGCATAAATTGCAGGAAAGGCACCAACATGATATCTTCAACAGCCATGGATTTCTGTGGAGTTTGGACGTTGACGAATCCAGGATGGCTTCGACACGGACATGAACTTCAAGTCCCTCATGGCCTTTATGGACATTGAGAGGGATGACATGCAGACCATTTTCAAAGTCCTAGACTGCGACGGCTCCGGGGAGGTCAGGTTGAAAAACTGGTGGAAGTTTCCGTCATTTTTTTGCAGCTGTAGATATTCAAAGGTCAGAAAAATTAACTGTTTAACCAGCAAGATTGTCAACCAGCAATATTTTTTGACATTTTTTTGGGGCGTCGAAGATTGGCCAGGAATTGCGATGGGAAGATGATGATAAATTAGTGGATTTTGAGACACCCCCAAGATGTTCTCCGATTTTTTTCCAACCAAACCAAAAAGAGCCAACACGAGGGAAGTTGTTACTTCAGTTGGGATACTATGCGATTCGGATCGAGTCATTTGTGGTGTGATTCTGAGGTGCCAAGTACACTCCAGGAATCTAGCCTTGAGAAATGTCTCCACTGGTATCCAGTATCTATAATATGTACGGGAGGCTACAAACCAGGTGGATATGGGTTCCAACAACTAAAGTTGCGTCCCAATGTTATGGGCTCCAACAACTAAAGTCGCGTCCCAATGACACCTCGTTGTTTTCCTTGGCAATCTCAGTTTGAGTCGCCTTGAGCCAACGCATTGGCCAGGCAAAGCTTTGCAAAACCTGAGTGCGACAGGGTCACAAATTTGTAATGTAACCGCACTCCCCCTTGTCTCTTTGAGACAACCGGCTCTCAGTTCACCTTTTCCATCTCATCCACCTCCACATTCAAAGCACGGAGCCCATGTGGTGGTATTTGAAACCGTCAGGTTTCCATGAAGTTCCAGGTGGTAACGGCCGTGCACCAACCAAATGTTTCTGCCCCCATTGAAGGCCAGAGAGCCACATTGGTCGCAGGCCGTGCGCTCAAAGATGCGCCTTGCGCACTTCAACTTCCCACATGTATTTTTCAGGTGGTACACCGTGCCACACCCAGTAACATATACCGAGGGAAGTGGTGGTGGTCCCAAAGCGGCTGGTGGAGCCTTGTAGTTTGGCCCCTGAGAGCTTGACGCCGCGAAGGCGGCAGGTGAGCCCGCGGTAGGCAAAGGTGGCCTAACCAGTGATGCCGCCTTCGGGATATCACCTCCAATTTCTGGTACTGGACAGAGAGGGCGAAGACCACCTCCACGAAGATGATAGGTGCCCCCAGCGCTCACACTTCCAGACACCTCAGTGTCATCCGTCCCGGGCGTGGTAGGCGTAGTTGGTCCAGGGCTCAGTTGAGCACCACCAGATTGAGTTTCTCCTTGAAACTCCGTTGGTTCACCATCTGGCGTTTGTTCGCCAGCATCAGACGTAGTGGCCCTCGAGGGCGGTCTTCGCCGCACTGCAAGGCCAGGACGGTAGATGCCCAAGTCATTGAAGGCAGCCAAACGTCCCTTTCCATCCTTTCCTTTTCCTTTCCCAGGCAAGGATTCATTCTCTGTGCTTTCACCGTCACGTGGTGCATTTCCAGGAGCAGGAGGCCATGGTGCCCAAACTCCACGTAGTTCATCTGGTGAATCTCCCCTGGTTTCTGTTGTAGGAGGATGGTCCGAAGGTGACCTAGACCTGGAAGTTCTCGACCTCCTGGAAGATCTCGACCGTCTGGAAGATCTCAATCGCCTGGAAGACCTCGACCGCCTCGAAGACCTCGACCGTCTCGAAGTTCTCGTTGACCTTGAAGACGAAGAAGACCTCAAAGGAGCAGCCACCACGGTGATAGGCGTCAGCCATCTTGCGATCAGAGCTCCTAGGATCGCCATCGCCAATCCATAGGCCAGCAGCAGGAAGTTTCCATCAGCGCCGAAGCCATCATCTTCGCTCGGTTGAGCAGCTACTCTACGGGGAAAAACAGCTACTGCTACCAAGGCTACGGCCATTGACCAGTGAGGGGGCGAAAAAGTCGCCTTCAGCATCTTTTGGTTCACACTAGGAGAAAGTTTTTTCTCCCCCCCACCGTGCACGGCTACAGTCAGACTACCTTGGACAGCCACCTGCGGAGGTGTGCAACTACGTTGAACCATTGAACAGTGAGAGGACGAAGGTGCTGCCTTCAGCATCTGCTGACTCACCCTAGGAGAATTCACTTTCTCCCTCCCACCGTCTATGGAAACCGCATAGCTACCTCGAACCTCAGTTGGAACGGAAGAACTTCTAACCCTTTCGGAAAACTCAATGACCCTTTCAGGAGCATGAATCACTCTTGGGGTTCCATGTTTCTTCCATTCGTCCAGAGTTTCATCTGAATTCAGACCTGGATGCTCCAGGTTAACCACGCAGAATGCATGAGTGCACAACTGCGTGCTCAAATTCAAAGACCCGCTTTCAAAGGAAGTGCAAGGCGTGAGTCGCCCATGTAGATCTTCTCCCGGATGTAGTCCCAAACTTGAAGACGAAGAAATCGAAGATTGGGCCCCTTGACGACCATTCTCCTCCTCCAGCGTCCAGGGCCCCTCCAGCGATCCACTGACGACCATACCACCTCCAAATTCGTCAAAATGACGACCAGTTGACTCATGTAGTAGAGCTCCTTCAGGAAGTAGAGCTCCTTCAGGAAGTAGAGACGACCCATGTCGGCTCCCTGGTGAAAAATCAAAAGGTTGAGGAAGACCACCATCACATAGACCTCCTCCAGGACGTAGAGACGAACTCCATCGATCGTCCACCGGCGCCCCACGCCGAAGAGGACCACAATCACGTAGGTCTCCTCCAAGATGTAGAGACGCCCCCTTTCGATCATCCCTTGAAACCAAAAATCGAAGAGAACCACCATCGTGTAGGTCTCCTCCAGGGTGTAGAGCTCCTTCGGAATGTAGAGCTCCTTCAGGAAAAAGTGGCGACCCCCCAGGGACACCTCGAGGTTGACAAAGATCAGGACATAGTCCGAGATCATCCCACAGCGCGTCATCAGCCGGTAGATCAAATTCATCATCAGGCTGTAGGTCTTGATCAGGATGTAGACGTAGAGCTCGAACACGGATTATCGCTTCTTCCTCCACGTACTTCTCATCCTTCAAATCTCGGTCAGATAAACCACCTTCTCGTTCTTCAGCAGGCAGTTCTAGAAGTAGATCGTGAGCCAGTTGCACAGCTTCCGAACTCGACAACTTAGACTGAAAGTCCTTCTCGTCAGAGTCATGGGACAAAGCTCGCTCACTGATCCTCAGCGCCTTGAGAGTAGAACCTGGTTTTTCAAGTTCCTGTTTCCATTTTTCGGGGTTCATCGGCAACAGACCCTGTTGTTTTAGACCCTCTACCCGTTTCTTCAGGTATACCCACAACCACAGCAACACAAGAGTTTTAGTTTTTTCATCATACGACCCAGGTTGTCCTGGCTGCATGGCCTTTGTTGCCATAAAGCCTAAACTGGCCGCCGCAACCTTGATAATTTCGTGGTTGAGCTTAAGGGTCTTCACCTGAACCTCCTGCTCCTCGGACTCTTCAGAGAACTGCGCTGCTGCTGTAGTGACCACGTTGAGGAACTTGAAGAAATAGGTCCAACGCTGCTTCGCACTGATGGCCTTGGTGAGGAAATCAGTCACCAACAGAGAACCTGGTAAATGTCGAATTGACCACCACTGTCGATGTCGAAGACGTTCTCGTAGGAAATGACTCCTCAGCCTCAAATGGCGTGACCTCCAAGCTCCCCCCTCCGGAGCACTCGCTACCGAAATGGCCGCAGTGTTGTCGCCATAGATGACTCGTTGGATCCCCATCGCTCCTTCTATGAACTCGCCCTCCGGAACCTTGATCTTCTCCCGGATGTAGAGCTCTTCAGACGCTTCTTCATCGTCAGATTCGACCACAGTGAGTTGACAAGGCACTTCTTCCAAGGCCTCAAGGATGCACCCCATCGAATCAGCCATGCCCATCGCCTCCACATACGAAAGGAGTTCAGATTCCGCTGTACTCAATGTGATGCAGCTCTGTCTGCTTGATTCCCACATGATTGGAGAGCCACCGTAGAGCACAAGTACTCCTTGGATAGATCTTGAAGCTTGAGGTGCGAAGCTGACATCCGCATAGGCTTCCAATCTTCTCATTGATCGAGGAAAAGGAAGACCATCATCAGGTCCTCGATCAGTCGGATCACACCGACCGTACTCCAGAGCTGTACCCGTCGAACCGTTGATGTACTCCACGACCTCCTTCCCAAGTTGGCATACAAAGCCTGGGTTTTTTGTGGAATGTCGTCCCATAACCCCCACAGCAAAAGCAAGGTCTGGTCGAGTTCTCAGTGCCAACCAGAGGATCTCGCCAGTGATGGCCTGGGCCTGGCGTACTAACTTCGGGTCCAACTCAGAGTCCTTTTCTTCAGGGATGTTGGATGCCATAGTTGGCGACATAGGCACAGGGCGTGTCTTGGTGCACCCATACCTTTTCACCAGTTCTTTCGCATAGGCTTCTTGGCTGACTTGAATGGATCCATTGGACCCCTCCTTGAGCTCAAAGCCGCAGAATTTGACTGCCGGCCCGTCCTTTGATATCCATTCAGGTGGTGAGCACTGCCAAATTCCTTTCACATGGTCCAGATAGGCCGCAATCACCTCGGTCTCCCCGGTGACAAGCATGTCGTCAACGTAGACCAAGATGTGACCCACCGTCTTCTCGGTATCACCTGTCAGCTTCTCCTTGATTCTCCAAAGGTTAGGCTCCCGGGTACATTCCAGCCGAAAGCTTCGATTCCCCTTTGACCAAGTCCAG